GCAGCAGAAAAGAACTGTGGAGTAGGTAATTAGATGAGTGAATGTGGAGTTCAGAAGCATGATCCAGGCTAGAACATACAATGGGGAAGGAAGTTGGGGTCACAGTGTATGGCACACCTCTTGGGGGTGGAACACAATTATAAGAGGGACTTTACCGAACAAATGCAATCAGTATACTCTAATTATTCGTACCCTCAATGAATCCCAAACAATAAAAAAAAAACAATGGGGGAAGCATTCACATATAGATGATATATTTTTTTTAGAGACAGAGTATCACCTTGTTGCCCTCAGTACAGTGCGGTGGCATCACAGCTCACAGCAACCTCCAGCTCTTGGGCTTAGGCGATTCTCTTGCCTCAGCCTTCCGAGTAGCTGGGACTACAGGTGCCCGCCACAATGCTCGGCTATTTTTTTGTTGCAGTTTGGCCGGGGCCAGGTTTGAACTTGCCACCCTCGGTATATGGGGCCAGCGCCCTACTCACTGAGCCACAGGTGCTGCCCAATATAGATGATATTTAACACCATGAGACTAGATGTGAGTTAACAAGTAAGGAATACACACAGAAAAGAGATCCAAAGACCGAGACCTGGGAAATGCCAGTGTTTGGAGGGCAGGGGGCATTGAATCCCCAAAGATGACTCCAAGATAGAGCACAGTGAAGCAGGAGGAAAACCAGGTGAAGAGTACTTCAAGGAGGAAGGAGTGGGAACCCATGCAGATGCTGCGGACAGGTCAAGTCAGACAAGGATTGAGAACTGACCCTTGGGAATGATTAGAGGTCTTGGGGCCGAAACGATCTCAACCTATTCTCAAACTTTAAATGGGTAAGAAGCCCGGCTCACTGGCGTGGAGCCAGGCGTGGAATGCGAGAACTGACCCTTGGAGGTAGCAACATAGAGGACACTGGTGACCTTGACAAGGGCTTTCAGTGTGGGAGAAGGGTCTGACTGGTATGAGATCAAGAGAGAATGGGGGTGGGAATGCTTGTTTGCAAGCTGATGAGGGTGAAAGGGGAAAACTGAGGATGCAAGAGAGAAGGAAAATTACTAGAGACTGTCTTTGAGTAAGCAGGAAAGGCTGGGGACCAGGGCAGACCCCTTCTTCCACAGTCACCAGAGGGAAAACAGACTTTCCAGGCACAGATGCTGATGGTAGTATGGAGATGTAAGCAAGTGCTCTGCAGAGTGTTTTTGGTTTTTTCAAGAGCTACCTATTTAGGGGCTAGAAGGGAAGGGAGGGAACCCTGTCTCCTATTGTCCGGCCAGAGTTCCTCTGGAGGGAGGGCTCCCTACGAGAAGATAAAGCCAGAAATTTCTTCCTGACATATGCTTTTCAAATTAGTAGCCACTAGCTACATATTAAGCAATTGTATATGGCTAGTCCAAACTGAGATGTGCCCCATGTAAAAATTTTTTAAAGGAATGTAAAATATTTCATTATTTACAATGATTAGCTCATGGCTCATGTCTGTAATCCTAGTACTTTGACAGACCAAGACTGGAGGATCATTTGAGGCCAAGAGTTTGAGACCAGCCTAAGCAACACAGCAAGATCCAGCTCAGTGACTGTAGCTTAAGCGGCTAAGGCGCCAGCCATGTACACTAGAGCTGGCAGGTTCAAATCCAGCCTGGGCCTGCCAAACAACAATGACAAATACAACCAAAAATAGCCAAGTTTTGTGGCAGGAGCCTGGAGTCCCAGCTACTTGGGAGGCTGAGGCCAGAGAATCGCTTGAGCCCAGGAGCTGGAGGTTGCTGTGAGCTGTGATGCCACAGCAATCCACCCAGGGCAACAGCTTGAGGCTCTGTCTCAAACAAACAAACACAGCAAGACCCTAGACCCCATCTCTACAAAAAATAAAAATTTAAGTTGCACATGAACTTTACGGCCACCCTGTATTTAAAAAATTAGCTGGCCATGGTAGTGTGAGCCTGTAGTTCCTGCTACTCCAGAGGCTGAGGCAAGAGCATCAATTGAGCCCAGGAGTTTGAGGATGCAGTGAGCCACCGTGACACCACTCACCACTGCACTCTAGCTCAGCAGCTAGTCTCTATCAAGACTTTTTCTAGGCTCGGCTCCTATAGCTCAACCAGCTAAGGCGCCAGCCATGTACACCTAAGGTGGCGGG